ATTGTGGATGGATTATCTCAGTTGTTCTCCTGGCTGAAGTTTGGTCCTTTTACAGCATCCTGCCATGCGATTACATTTGTTCCTGACCACCGAGAACACTCACGTTAACTTTTATCGAGTGGAAAAAAAGTTAGCTTGTTTATATTATGCTAACATAGCTGTGTCGCTAGCGGTCACGTAGCACATCATTATATACTAGCTAGCCCAACTTCAGTAACCCTACAAACGTCACTGCTGTTTAGTTTTCTGTCTTCATTTATGTTGGAAGTGATAGCAGAGCTGTACGTTTTAATTTGTTTCCAAAACCCTGCAGTCAGGACATGCTATATTGTATTTAGATAGAAGCTAGTGAGCTAACTCCCTGCTAACTTCTAACTCCGTTAAATGTCATAAATTCCATTTTCATGGATGCCTGGATGTTAAACTCAATTGTTACACCTGGTAGAGCAGAACGCTGATCATTTTATTAAAGATGAAAGACTTTAGACAGTTTTTCAACTCTCAGTAATGCCACAGTGATCGTTTGATATATGGACCTGCAGCCGAGTTTAGACCCAGACACAGCTAGTGACGTCAGACTGAACAATCGGATAGCCTACTGATTTCAGTGTAGTGGTGAACAGTCACACAGTTCACGTGGGCGTTATCTGTGATACTCCTTAACTATAATTTATCCAAGTTAACTTCAGTTAACCATTCAGACAGTTCTTTTGCAATGAAAAACATAAACACCCATGCTGCCGGTAGGTTTCCTCAGTGCCAGCTGTTAACATTATAGCTGCTTATGCAGTAACCATGGTAACCACGGACTCTGAGCGGCTGGATCGACGGAGGTCAGACAACAATTTTACATGTATGATCTTAAACCAGGACACAGCCACTATACGTGCTGGCCTCATATCAAATGTGAAGGCAGACTGAGTCTATGTTTGACGTTTTTTATATCTAATCTTCCTTTTCAAACATTTAAACGGCAGCGAGTCTGCAGCTGAGGGAATACAAACTCAAATTGTCGGAACAGGTTTGCTCGTTTCTTGGATTCATTTGATTTATTAAATGTATAACTGTTATTCTAATCTGCTGAGTCTCTTACACTGATGAAAATGAAGATAACACAGATCACGAACACCTGTTCAACCAATCACTTTCATTCCACTTTGAAACTGACGGTTCATCTCTGTTACAGGTTTGACGTTAACAAGCTGCTGGATGTACTCGGTGTCAGTTTGGACGTTATGAACAGGTTTTTTGTGGCTGCCAGTCTTAAGACGTGTGCATTTGTGAGTTTCCCTTTCAGGAGGAAAATATTTAGGCTACGTCCATATGAGCTCAAATAAATATATACCTAGCTGTGAGCGAAGGTAGTGAGACGGTTAAGTGCTAGTTAGCTGCAGCTACCTGGATCTAGCTGCTGTCAGGGTCGTTGTGTTGTTCTAATGTGTTTAACGTGTCGGTCTTAGGCTACATTCACACTGCAGGTCTTAATGCTCAATTCTGATTTTTTGATCAATCCGATTTTTTTGTCTGCTTGTTCACACTACAAATAAAATGCGACAGCAAACGTGCTCTAGTGTGAACGCTCAAAGCGGCCCGCATGTGCAAAAGAAGACGTCACACACACAACGCGCTCTGTTTAAACCCAGAGCAAACAATATTGTTTGACTGATTGACCTTAATATAAAGACTTCGGACTTTACGTTTCCCAATTTTTGCTTTAAGTTATTTTGTTATTTACATAGTAATGTAGATAACCTAATAATTATCCTTATTGCTGTTTTAGAGAGGAGCGGTGCTTCAAAAGATAGTTGCAGATTTCTGTCAGAATCTGCAGATTATACAGTACAAATAAAATGTTCACGTCTCTCCAACGTTGTCTTCCCAACAGTTTCACTGACATCTACGCTGGATGGCCAGGAAGCGCTTGCGATGTCTTCTCCGGCGCTTCTCCGGCGCTGATAATTGGCATCTGTCTTGTGTCAGTGACATAAAAGACGGATTTAATGCGACATGACCGTTCAAACAGCAGTCGCTTTCTAAAACATCGGATATGTATCGGATTCAGGACCACATACGAAAGTGACCCAGATCAAATTTGAAAATATCGGATTTGTGCCGTTCACACTGTCATACCATGATCGGATATGGGTCGCATAGGGTCAAACAATCGGATTTGATGCGCTTTCGCCTGCAGTGTGAACGTAGCCTAAGATTACGACAAATGTAGCAGCAGGTTAACTCCGGCTCCCTGTAGCCAGTGCGTTAGTTCCGTCTACAGCTAACTGGAGCCAAAGCAAACGCACTGTTGCTGTCGGGGCCAGTATTGCTCGTTTTAAATACCTGCGTCGGACTCCGATTACAGCGAATGTAACAGCGGGTTAACTCTGGCTACAGCTAACTGGAGCTACGTGGACACTTAACAGCTAGAACTGGAGCTACATAGATGTAGCTGCTGTCATGACCATCACTTTTTGGTATTATGCCTGTGTCGGTCTCCGGCTGCGGCTAATGAACGTATTGAGACTAGTCTGAACACGGTAAACTGCTAATTAGCTGTAGCTAGCATCTATCAGGAACGCGACTGCTTCGTTTTAATGCCCGTGTCGCACTCTGCACGGTTCAGCGGTAGTTAGCTGCTGCCAGAGCTAGCTGCTGCCAAAAAGTGATTGTCTGCCAAAAACTGATTTCTGGTATTTGCTATAAGTAACTTGTTGGGCTATAATATGTTAAACATATGTCAAATGCATCCCTTATGGATGACATAAAGTCATCTTGAGCCACAAACAACATTTGTGTAACAAGGTAGAAGCCGCAATCAGTTTTTGGCAGTGACTCTTATATAACCTTTATTTATGCAGTTAAAAAAAAAAATCTCATTAATATTAAAAATGTCTTTTGTAAGAGTAAGCTGGCCAACAGGACAGCAGAAATGGCAGCAAATATTACAATAGTTCTGTAAAAATATTTTAAGTGGGGATAAAGGACCGGATTGGTTATAATGTAAGTACAATAACACAGAGTTGTAAAGATACTTGAAAAACAGATAATTTTTTAATTATATATGTAACCCCTTTGTAGAGCTGGGCGATAGAACGATAACGATATGTATCGCGATATAACTTTTACTCGATAGAGAAATTAAGCTATCGCGATAGACCTCGCCGCTCTTGTCCTCTTAAAAAAAAATAAATAAATAAATTTAAAAAAGGTCAGCCAATCCAAATTAAGTAGCGCAGAGCCGAACCAATCACAGCCGCAGCGTCACATCGCCTGACTTGTTACGTACAGCGCAAGTGCCAAGCCGCACGTGTGTTTGTTTGGGAAGCAGCCAGCGGGTAATGGAGGAAATGAGTGTGCCGACTAGAAAAATCAACCGAGCGTGACTGAAGAGAAAACAGATGATGGTTCCAATGCCGGAGAGATTGTCGAACGGAAGAGCCATAGAAGTTCCGTAGTGTGAAGGTATTTCGGCTATTTCAAGTCTGACAAAAAACAGAGTAGCGTGCACTGTAATTTGTGCCGAAAGCAAGTCTGGAAATACAATAAACTGGTGCATGCGTCACACTGTGCGCCACGTTATTGTTTCGGTGAAATGAATTTCTACAATACTGTTACTGTTAATTCTACTCTCTGCAGTGTTTAAATGCTTACATACACACACAGTTACTGTCCCTCCACACATACGACTCGGTTCGGCTTCTATGCCCCAGCTTTGTTTACTTTTTCCCACCGAGGCTTCTAGACTTCTGATTGGCCAACATTTCTGCACGGTTAGGAATCTAGCGCCACCTGCTGCTTTGGCATGTTCATAGCAGCGTTTTCTTTCATTTCTCCCTTTATGTGTGGACGGGATTATTTTTAAAACGAAAACGGAAAATCTCCGTTTTCAAAAATACCCGTGTACGTGTGGACGTAGCCTCAGTCTCTGACTGGAAGCGCTAATTCGTCATTCGGCTTTTGTCAGACTAAAGTAACTGTTAAAACTGTTTGAAAAGCTAAGCTATACAACAAGGAGAGATTGAGAATTTCCTTTTAGTTCTCAGTTTATTTGATATTGACAAAAGTTAGTCAGTTTTGTCTGTTCTTCTGTAAAACAAACTAAGATTTATTTTTAGAATTAATATTTTGTTTCTAAGTGGAATTGACAATTTAGTCTGTTTTGTTTGTTCTATTTTGAAACTTAAACGCTTTAGCGGCTGCCTTTTGTGTAGTTTGCAATATTTGCCTTTATCTATCCAAAAAAGTCTCATGTTCCTTAAGTACATCTACCCTGTTGAACTTATTATGGGAAATAAATATTTAAATAAAAACAAGCTGCTGATTATTTCACATTTTACTTGTGAGCAACGGCACATTTAAATCTTACAAATATAGTTATTTGGCTTATATCGTGATAGATATCGTTATCGCCTGAAATGAAAAAAACATATCGTGATATGAAAAAATCTCATATCGCCCAGCTCTACCCCTTTGTAAACCCTGTTCACCAAAGTCCATTTACTAACATATGTAAAGATATTACAAATAAAAAATACACAGAAACATTGGAAATCAGTTTTTGGCAGACAATCACTTTTTGGCACAACACCCGCACCGTTATCACCAGGCCTCAGTCCTACTGTTTGTCTAAATCACACCTGATGCTAATGCTAACATACAGGATAAGCTCGCAAAAGACATAGTTGCTTCAAGGGATCTCACCTCTAAACAAGGGAAGTAAGACACAGAGAATCAGGCCGAATAAGAGAGAGTTATTCCCCATCTTGTGGTGGGATTCAGAGGATCCAACGATCAGTGTAATAAATGTCCAAGGATGGTGCGATTAGAAGAACAAAGAAACTGAGAGTGCAACAACTCGATGAGCATTAGCCGGTCTGTTCACTTTGTGAAGTGGGCGTTTACTCCAGAAGTCTGACATGGGGTTGGCGGACAAAAGACCAGAGCGAGTTTTTTTTAAATCTTTTATATAGTTTATCTCACCAACACTGTTTTTGTACCAACAGAACGGCTCATGCTCTGAGGAAGAGGGCGGCTTTACTTGGCGTCAGTGACAGAAATGAGAAAAAGCTGAAATGAGTGAGAAGGACGATGAAGGAAACATCTGTGCTGTGTCTGCTCTGTAAGTAGAATCTCTGTGTTTGTTTGAATTCTTGTACTTTGACTGTCTGCTCTCCTGATAACTGAAGATGGAGGAGAAGACACGAAAAACAAATCAGGCTGAATAGAAATGATTTGCTCTGTAGGACTGAGGGTGTACATGTTGGTCACCCATCTTTACAATGTAAATGGTTCGCTCCTTAAATCTTCTTAACTTGGCACGTTCAGATCCAGATTAGAGATGAACGGGTATGAGATCACTACCTACTGAACAATCAGTTCTCCAGAAAATAGTGTCACCATTCCCAGAAGATCCCTTGGACCTCTGCACAGAGAGTAGGAGTGTGTTTTTAATAGGCTCTAAAGTCTTTGTGTTTCTCTGATCCGTAGCTTTTAACAACAATTTGCATAGTCTTGTTATTCTAAATGCATTAACGTATGATGATCCCAAAACAGGACACCTACACTGTACTTGCTGACCTCGTATCAAACTTATACGTGGATTATGTTTTTATTTTTAAACTTTACATCCATTCCCAAACCCTAATTTGGTGATTTAGAAAATGTACAAATGTTGTTCTCCTTGATTCTAATCTGCTGTTAAGTCTCTTTCCCACTGCTGGAAACACTGAACACACACCAAGAATGTCGGTTCAATCAGTCACATTAATCACTTTGATCTGGAGCAAACAACAATGATTTCCACGTCTCCTTCCTCAGGATAGTAAGCTTCAACAATCAGCCATCAACTTAGAACTACACACCAGCACTGAGAGCGCACCAAGTGGTTAAACGTTTAGCTGCCAGTACACCAATCAGTGTCTTCAGTTTGAAATCTACTTCGTACACATTTCTCTCAACAAGCCCCAGTTTAGGGTCCATTATGCACGCACAATACGGTAATATTATGTTGACGCGCAGTACGTATTACTCTACGACACTTCTGACTACAGTAACTGTAATGCTCCGACAATACATCAAGCAGTGCGGCTTCTTAGCTTACCATAAAATTGATTCGACATCAGTAAGCACAACGAGAACTCATACATAAGACGCACCGGATTATAAGGTGCACTGACGATTTTTGAGAAAATGAAAGGTTTTCAAATGCACCTTAAAGTCTGAAAAATACGGTATATGAGTTTTGTAAGGTAGATTGTTTCGGGGCAGAAGGACGTTTGTTTGCAGCCATCAGAAAGAGAATTAAAAAAAATACAAATAAAAACTATGAAGAAAACGCAGAGATGTCAGAGGTTTATACCCAGTGGTCTACAAAGTGGTCCAAGGGATCTTTCAGGAATAGTGGCGCTAACTTTTGGAGAACTGATTGGTCAGGAGGCGATTATTTACAGTGGTGCAGATGTGTGTCACAGGTTGATCTGGCTGTAGGCTGTGGCACTTGGCCAGAGGTGGCGCTGGTTGACCCGACTCCATGTTAGTGCACAAAGTAAACTGCTCGCTGTAGTTGTGAAGCAAAAACGCTGAATTCGGAGAAACAAACCGTGCGAGGGGAACGATAATGACGACAAGAGTCTCCCGATCGTTTACTCTTGCTGTCCTGTGAACAGCATCGGCGTGGTGTTACTTGTTTGCTGTTTTCGCGATTGCGTTGCGCATGAGGATATCACCAGGTAAACTCGCCACATTTTTAAACATTTTGTTGTTCAACAGCATCAAGACTGACGGAGTGTGTTTGAGATAACCTCACAAGTGTCACAGATGACACATTTGGCGTTTTTTTGCTGGTTTGTCGGTAGCAGCTCCTGAAACGCAAGACTGCCACACATCTGTTCGACCAACGCCAGTTGATCTAAACGCCAGTAGATCTGGAACACCGGCACTTCCTTGTTTTGCCGCCTCCTTCTTCGGTTGGCAAACCAGCTTAGAGGTGCATCAATACTGCCCCCTAGTGAGGAGCTGGACCACAAAACAAAGAAAAAAGCCCCTCTGTCTATTAATCTTGTTCTTATCACAAATTTCAACAGCCCATAAATTTGGCAAAAATTACTGAGAGTCTGGTATAATAATTGTATTTGTTTGGAATTGTGCAGGACTGGTCTGCATCACAACAGTGAAACATTTTCAGTACACCAATCAGTGTGACCAAGCAGCTGAGGGGCAGATTTACAAAGGAAAAATAAACTGTAACGATTGTAACGCATGTGTATCTGTTCCTAACTCCTCCTAGATGTGTTAATCAACCTGAAATAAAATTGTGAAATAAACTACCTAGAGTTATTATTTTAACACTCAGATCCTTTCAAATTATCTTTATCATTTGTAGTATCTGATATAAAAACAAACTGTAACATTATGTGTACGTTCCTGTGCGTCTGTGAATTGTCTTCAAATTCACAACAAGTGATCCATTAACAAAGTTGTAGTAAATATTTGTAATTCGTTGAAGTTGTTTAAACTTCTATTTTTATTGATTTCTAAAGTTGGGCATTACTGATTTACCATTCATCTCTCTATGGAGAATATGAGACAGCAATTGCACATGACGATTAGATTCATTTAATTTCGGTTTTATTTATATAGCACCAAATCACAACAGCAGTTGCCTCAAGGCAGTTTATGTTACGGCCCAACAATAGAAGGAGGAAAACGCAAAGACGTTAGATGCTAGGGGGGAAATTTAGACCCTCCTACTGTCGGCAAACAGAGTTGAGATGAAAATTTCATCTCAACTCTGGGTTATTTGTCAGTTTGACAGGATGAAGGACGACTGACATTTAAATTTGTTTTTTTTAAATGTCTAAAAAAGAAAACGTAATAATCCTAGTCTTAATCTTAACATACAAACATTTTTACTGACTAATGGATAACCAGTAATTATTACATGTGTGCGATGCAACTACTGAGGTAACAAACATTTTCTAATAGTAAACCAAAGAAAGGAAAATTCACTTTCACTCAACCATCAGCCAGAACCACAGGTGTGCTGCAACAAGACGGCTCACACCTGAACAGAGTCCTGCTTATAAGCTCCGATGAAGCCCAACTGAATAATGTGACTGAGTTTGTGTTATATTTAAAACAATGTCATTAGGACTGAGTCACCTGCACTGACATCCTCTGTATGTGCTTTATCGTGTAGACCTTGGTGGATCTGCAGGGGGAACTGAGGATGTCAATTATGGACGAATCATCAACAAATCATCAAGAGAGAGAAGAGAAACAGTCAAAGGTAAGAGGTGCAGATGCTCTTGTTTGTCTCCATCATGGTTCAGAGTGAGAACAGCAGCTACTCAGATTTCAGAGTTACAGACGACAGACAAACCTAATGTTTCCTTTTTCTGTGATGGCAAATGTTGTGGTGTCAGATTGTAGTGTGATGTGAGGCGTTTGATTCTAGCTTGAATTCTTAAAGGGAAGATTAAGGGCCAGATTCACTAACATCTACAGCAGCACACAGCCCTGTTTGACATTTAAAAGCTGTTGGATGTACTCAGCGTCAGTCTGACTACTGTTGTATCGTGGCAGCTGGTTTTCTGGCTTTTGTAAGAGTTTCACTTTCAGGAGGAGAATATTTAAACTAGTCAGCTCGTCAGGTGAATATGAATTTGAAAACCTGTGGCACACAATTTACTGCAAATTACATAAATATTTATCTCGCCTTCAAAAAAAATTGTCTTATGCTTGTGTTAGTTGCTGACATCGACCTGTCTCCTTATCCCTAAAGGGAGGGAGGGATGTTATCGGATCAAGTAATAAGTACTTTGTCTGAAAAGTACCTAAATAACTGTCTAAAAGCTGCTATTGGTGCAAGTTTTGGCTCAACTCAGTTCTCACACTGAGTATTTAGAGGCAGGGCCCTCTTATTGCTCCTCAGTAATTCTGGTAATACTGATTTTACTGAAACTGAGTTGTCTTTATATCAGCAAACATGAACTTCTCTCTGCTGAATCTGTAACAAATCTAAATAAATGTCTGTGAAAAATCAGCTTTTAATGAATCTGTGTTAGATTCATGTGATTCATTGAGTAATTGGATTATTAAAAAAAAGTCCTCGACACAAGTTCTTTGTGTCGATACTTCACACAGCTCTGTCGCATGCTGTTGTGTTAAATGATGCTATTGCAAGCCTTTCACCCACATTTGTGCCTAAAAGCAGTCCTGCAATAAAAATGTATTTAGGAGCTTTAACACTCAAAGACTTGTGTTTTTTCTCTTATCTGTTTACTTGATTAATTGATAGAAGAGTTGATTGATTACTCATTACTAAAATAATCTATAGCTGCAGCCCTAATCTTATATAAAGAGCTTATATAAATCTAAATACCAAAAAAAAAAAAGAATTTTTTTATACCAGCAGTGTGATGTTCAGCTGTGAATTTAACAAACTATTGTTAAAAACTATAAATATGAGGTGGTTAGGGCAGTTATAAAAATGCAGTTATAAATAGCATTTATATCATCTCTACCACTCTGTTTATTATGTTGATCGTTTTCATGACAGCCTGTTGCAATGAATTATGGGTCAGCAGGTGTTCTCATCACCAACTGATCACTTGGTTGTGAACACCCAGTGCAAATTTGATAATTCGAAGAAGATTTAGGATTTTGAAATTCATACAATAGGTACGTCTAATAAATTTATCAGACGAGTTTGAATTTCAGCGACTTCCACCTCAAGGTCAGAGGTCAAGTTTTCAGAAAATCTTATTAATGTAAAAGCTCAAGAAATAATCTGAGACGTTCACATTAATACAATGTGTGCATATACTAGTAGGCTGAGGGGCAGCACTAGCAGCTGCCAGCATTTTTTTTAATTTGAGGACATGATTTGTAACATCAGCACAAAGTGCATATTTCAAATGGTCTGAATTACAAATATATATCAGTACAGTCATAGTGCTGATCGCTGTGGTATTAGATTTGTAATTGAGGAGCTTTATGTGTTGCTTCCTGATATTTAAATAACTTTGTAACAAGTTGTAGACTATACAGTGGTCCCTCACTATATCGTGGTTCACTTTTTGCAGCTTCGCTGTTTTGCAGATTTTTGGGGGTGCAAATTTTCATGCTGTTTGTGCCGTATCTCCTGTACAGTACAGAATGCGTTCATCTTGTCAAAATTGAATTAAATCTTGATCGCTAGCAGTGTGACTCTGAACTGCTGTACTGTATTGTAACATCCATGGCAGACCCGACGATATTTTAATCTTTTCAGTATACTTTACTTCACCACGCTTGCTGTACACACTCAGCTGCAGCACTCCAGCCACACACATCACTGACAACAACCACACTCCCACTCAGGACCCAGTACAACTTTTGCAGAGCGACGTGATGAGCCGATGGGTCGGCTTCTCCTGCAGCCGTGCCACATGTATGTTTGTTTTTCTCCACAACAAATACAACAATGTCGACAAAACGTTTTGCACCGTCAAAGGCAACCGCGGGTGTCTTTGGTTTCATTCTAAAATACTGGACTTATTTTTCTAAGAAGGTTTGAACTTTGAGAGTGTTTAAACAAGAAAAAGAAAAGTGTTAATGTTCATGCCTGTCTGAGAAAAGTGTGTAAAGCGTGTAGTGAGGGGTTTTATAGCCTTAAAACATCTATTCTAACTGTAAAATGTAAAGTTTGCTACTTTATTTCACCTATCGCAGGTTATTTTTTGGAACGTAACCCCTGCGATAAACGAAGGACCACTGTACTACAATTAAAATCACCACTATTTTGAAAGTAAGGTTTTGTGGTTCACAGACTCAAATGCTCAATCAAGGTTACAATTTTTACTTTTCAATGCAAGTAATGCTTAATATGGATGGATTTTGAAGAATATTAGAAATAAAATCTACAAAAGAATCATAAACCCTAAAATTTCCAAAAGTTTCATTGTCTGCAGCTTCACTAAACTTGTTAGTATCTGGGTAAAAGCGCTCCTCACTCATATTTGTTACACTCACTCACTACTGTTAAATGCACTAAATATTAACTAAATATTTCATGTCATGTTATAATGGTGTTATTCTTGTTGGGACCCGATGACAAAATTTCATTTCACCTTATGTAAAGACTATTAGTGAGGGGGGAAAGTAAATTTATGTAACAACCGAATCGCAACATTTTGTGTAGTGACACTTTAGTGAAACAGTGACAGAAAATAATAATATTATACTAAATTATAATTTTATATTATACTAAATTTGGGGTGGCTGTGGCTCAGGTGGTAGAGCAGCTACTGATCGGAAGGTTGGTGGTTCGATCCTTGGCTTTCCCACTCGGCATGTCAAGTCTCCTTGGGCAAGATACTAACCCCAAATTGCCCTCCGATGCGTTCATCGGAGTGTGAATGTGTGTGGATTAGTAGATTAGTTTGCACTTGTGTTTACAAGTGCTTGTATGAGTGGGTGTGAATGGGTGAAGAGGCATGTTGTAAAGAGTGCTTTGAGTACTCCAGGTCAAACTGCTCTTTCAGGACCACATTTGGTGTGTGATCAACCAATTAAATCTGAAGGAGCCCAGGATTTACTGAACCTTAAGTGCTCTATTATCACTCTCTGGTTTTCTTTTTTGCACAGCACAATTTGCTCCTTATTTTTCTCTCTCTTTCTCCAGTTCTGTTTTTCTCAGCTTTCTCTGGTGCACTCGTCTATCCCTCTTTCTTTCTACATGTGGCACGATCTGTTTTCTTTCTGATTTTTCATGTGTCACTTGCTTCCCAGTGTTTACTGCCTGTAATGCACGGTTGATTCGCTTACTGGTATCACGTGGGATGGCTTAACTCGCATCCAATTGGTCTGTGCGTTTCTCAAGCCACTGCTACTACCGCAAAAACAGAAAAACTGAGCCGCTGTTACGGCTGTAGGTTCGGGTCCTTATGTTTCCGGACCCGGATCGCAGTCCGCCTGTTAGTGACCCCTGCTTTATAAAATAAAGAACCAACATCAAGAGCGACTTGAATTTCTGATTCATTGTTTAATGTAGCTCGGCTACGACTAGGTTAGCTGTTTCTGGGCACAGCTGATGTATTGGTACCGGTTTGCGCACGGCTAACTCCGGGTTAGCGGGACCGTGTGGCGTATTGTTGAGCTACGTTTAATGTAGAAACTTGTGAATGAATAATCACGCTTCTTTTCACACGGCTAACCAGATTAGCTGGTAGCTAACCAGGTGTTAGCCAGTATCGGCTGCTAGCGACTATAAACAAACAACAGCAGTGTGCCGTACTCTGGCTTGTGCTCCCACCGTGGCCCGGACAATGCAAATCAGTCGAAGAAAACTGTAATACACGCGTTAGTTAACAAACACATTAGCAATAGTTTGCTACAAGCCTGAAATCTCACCTGCAGACCAGGCACAGCAGACACGGAGGATACCGAGGAGAAAGTACAACCATTCCGAACCCCTCATGTCGTGCTGGTGATTTGTGAAGCTGACGATAAGAGTTCCTAGAGTCTAGAGAAAAGGGTGCTCGATGTTTACAGGTACTTCCTTCTTCCGCCTCCTCCTCCTTCTTCTTCGGTTGGCAAACCAGCCATCATTACCGCCCCCTAGTCAGGAGCTGGACCAACAGCAACAACAAACAGCCCCACTGGATTCGTTCTATTAATCTTGTTCTTATCACTAATTTCAACCGTTGGCCATAAACCTAGCAAAACCTACTGACAGTCTGGTATAATAATCGACTTTGTTTGGAATTTGCACGGCTGGTCTGCATTACAGTTTCACAGAACAGCGTCATCTAGGTGTGTGATAGTCAAGTTGGCCAGCAGGTGTCACTGTTGAGAGGGTTTCACATTGTTGTGAAGCCTCGATGCAATTCCAACACAAATGTTTCATGAAGCCTTGCTTTGCCCATCAAATGTCCCAGGATGCTGTGATTTTGTAAAGCTAACATAGAGGCCGAGTCTATGCCTTACAGTAGCAGTATTATTTATGTATTTATTTTTTAATTCATTGTGTACTGCAGTCAGAGTCATAAGGCAAGACATGAGATGGATTTCTCCTGGCAGTGTCACTCTCTCCCTGCTGATGTGATTGTAGTTCACCTAGCAGTCTTTTTCTCTCACCCTTTAGATGAGAGGCCAAATGAGAGACTGCTGGCCAGTATGACGGTAATTATTAAAATAAATGATAATGGAAAACAACAACAACAAATAAAGCAAAATAAAGGTAGAATGTGCTTAATGTCACTTTGGGTTTTGCTGTTTAGTAGGAGAGTTCACAATGCTAGATTGGGTGCTGTGTTCCTCATTCATACATGCGTGCATATGTCTGCTTTTAATAAAAAGAAATGATAGCGCTAAAAACAAACTTCTGTATTACTCTGGCCTTTCCAAAGTCCGAATCCTAGCACTGAAGACATGCACTTAGTGGGGACAGGTTCATTGGAAACACTAAATTGCCCATAGGATGCTAATCACAGGCTCGCCTGTGTAAATCTGCAGAGTCGATGAATAGCTGGTTTTTGCATCACAAGCTGCCCTGATTTCTGTCTCATATTTGCCTGGATTGCTGTGCTTGTGTAACCAGAAGGAGCATTTTCCATGGTAGGGGACCACGCTGTCACCTCTGAAGATCAGACAAGGACCTTATAACGGCGAGCTACCTCCACGGAATAAATATTTTAAGGGACATTTTTCTCATGTTATAGCTTCACTGTATTGTGCAGGCTTATTGTGCAGTGAAGTAAGCTACAGTAATTGGAGGACTGTTAAAACCTTTATTTATTGTCAGGTTTTCAGCTGAGTTACACGAGCGGTGGGTGTGGTTGGTGTGTGTAAGTTGTGAGTGCGCTTGTTTTGCTTGTTGTCTGCCTGCGCCTTTTCACTACAGTGTTCCTCTGCAATGTACAAGCACACAATGATCTATTTTAAAATACCACAAACTCTGTTAAGTTGTATAATATTCATGTTAGCAAGGACAAATGATACTGTTACTCACCTGCTGCCCACAAACAGTTTATTGGTTCCTAGTGGATTGTAAGGTACGATTAGAATATGTGGGAATTTTATTTATTTTTATAGGATTATTATTGGTTATTATTTTTAATGTGGGGACGTTGGAAATGTTTGAAAATGGTGGAAGTATTTTATAGGTATTTGTTATGTAGTATTTTGTTTGGTGCTGAGTGTAACCTGCAGACTGGTTTGATCCAATCAAGGTATCACTGCTATAATAGCTGAATCTGTAAACTACAGAGACAAAAACATGGGAATCCACTTATTCCTCATCAGTCTCATTCCAAATGTTGCCATCGGCTTTTTTTCTTTCATGATTTGTCACAGCAATGATGTCGTTCTTGTCAGTGGCATAAACAGACACTTATACTTGTCACAGCAAACCCGGTGAGCCCAGTGTGCAGTTTGATGCCGAGCCATGTGAGCCATTTGTATATTTCAGCAGGAGCAGCTTTAGCACCTGTGACCTCCTCATCAGACTCATCAGATGTGTCTGTGTCCTCTGGTTGATGCTCTCTATCATCCTCATCAGAAACCGGCTCATACGTATTGCAATGCTGTTTTTTGCAAGATGCATTATTTGCATGTATGAAAATATGAACCTTTTCTGTCTTTAAGGGTCTTGGTTTTAATTCAAACTGTTTAACACACTGCAGTGTGTTAAGTTCTATGTTTTTTAATATAGTTTCTCTTACCACTACTCTCTTTTATACCAACAGAAAACCACAGACTCAGAGGAAGAGGGCGACTTTACTTGGTGTCAGAGACAGAAATGAGAAAAAGCTGAAATGAGTGAGAAGGACGATGAAGGAAACATCTGTGCTGTGTCTGCTCTGTAAGTAGAATCTGATCTCCTGGGTCCTGCACTACAGAGCAGGTTTATTATACCCAGGGTGTATCTCTGTTATTCAGGTTAGTTTACGCTAACATTGGTAATCAGGATATTCTGTCATATGAAGCTCATTATCAACTCACTCAGTTAACCCGGGGTTTCCCTCCCTGCACCTCCACATGTGCTGTTTTCACACAGTTATGGATAAATGTATCAACATCAAAGAGACTGTCTGCTGCTGATGAAGCAGGTGTGTTTGTGTGTGTGACCACTATACAGTAAACTAGTACCAGCAAACCCAGTACTATGCTAGTACTCTGATGCTGCAGAGTTGTCTTCTTGATGGAAGGGGAGTAAACAGTTGGTGGGAGGGTGATGTGGGTCAGCCATGATGCTAGTGGCTTTCTGAATGCAGCGTGTGGTAGGGCTGTGCGACATGACCAAAATCTCATATCCTGATATAAAACATCTATCGTCCCCACAACGATATAAATCACAAAAATGTAACATTTTCTGTAAATTCTGTGAATCTTGGGCATCTCGACGTGTGTGAGGTCTTTGAGGTCTTTCCAGCTGGGCGTCGTGTACCTGGAGTTGTGAGTTTTAACTGATGCATGAAGCTATACATTATTAGATATTAGTTGTAACAGCCGCCGTTTTCTTTGAGTATTTATTACATGGCGTGCTGCGGGGAAAAGCCTGTTCTAACGTTTGAGTCTAAGGTTTATTTTTTAACACCTGACGGCTCTTTTTTTGGAAAGTCTCAACAGGATCTTGAGCTTTATTGTGTAAGGTTTACGTGGAAAACAAACAAGTGGACGGCTGAGCCACGCCATGGTTTTACCATCGCTGTTGCTAATGACAAAGCATAAAAACAGTTGCTTGACCATCCGTAGTGTGGTTATATTAAATATAAGAGAAAGAGAGAACTGTAACAAATTAATGTAGCCACTACAGTGACATCAAGACGATGAAGAAATATTGCCATGATTGTGACCCTTCTGTTATAATGTCAGCACAGCATTCTTACCTGAACTGTCCTCACCTAATCCTGTTGGACATGGCAAATGGATTCATGTACCGTATTTCCCGGACTACAAAGCGCACCTGAATATTAGCCGCACAAGCTAAAATCAGGGGAAAATCCTGTTTTGTACATGCATTAGCCGCACCTGACTAAAGGCCGCAGGTGTTTCAATGTTGACTTATCATATGTAAGAGAATATGCACAAAGCGAATTGTCAGGAAAGAGATGGCTGTTTGGAGACATCACTTTTATTAATATTTTGAAAAACAAGTTATGGGTACATATTTGCACAACTTTTTAGGGTATATGTACAAGTAGCAGTAATTACAAGTACAAAACATGTGCTTCATAAACGAGTAACAAATGTAGTACATAACAATAACCTACAGCACACCAGAAAAATAGATTCGGACTACCTTTTAGGCTCAGGTGCAGTGACACGGCTTTAACAAGAAGAAAAGTCAGTCATTCACCACCATCTTCCTGCGCACTAAAACCACCAAAGTCCTCTTCTCCAGTGTCGGATACGAACAGGCTCAGGATGGCTTCGTCATCCACTCTCAGCTTCTCTCCTTCGTTGTCACTTTCAAAACCAAAGAAATCCTCGTTGTCAGTGTCAGAGTCAAACACCCTCTGAAGGGCCGTGGCGGTGTCCTCCTCTCCATCATGCAGCATTCAGCCCTTCAAAATCCGTTGGTGATCATTGATGTTTTCACACTTTTCCACGCTGACAGATTCCACCGGTGGAGTTGAGCATGACTTGCTTTTCGCAAGTTTATTGCCGCTCGTCATCCACGACTCCCGCTGAACGTGTAGCGCTACTTTGAAGTTTGTTTTTCATGCTACTTGTACGGCACTATGTTGCCTGGTGGACGGACATGTGACCAACATACCACTCTTGAACCCAGATACTGTGTGTCTGATCACATGCCCTTCTGCCAGGCAACGTAGTGCCGTACAACAGCGGAACAAACAAAACAAATCGTCTTACGATATCACAAAAATCATGGACAATCCATAGAAAAGCCGCACCTGACTAAAAGCCGCAGGGTTCAAAGCTTGTGCAAAAAGTAGCGGCTTATAGCCCGACAATTACAGTAACTTACACTGCATACATATTAAAATGCTGTAAATACATGGTACCAAATATATTAATATGACACTATATTAAGAACACGGTTTAATACTTTAATATAGGAAAATCTACATAAAGGTAAATTTACCAGAACAATCCTGATTTCAATAATATGAAAATTATTTAAACATTATATTTAGAACAATGTAAATGTGTGAAATGAAGAATACATTGAAATGATATAAATAATGTAACGTCAAAGATGAATTATTGCTGTAGAAGATTTAATACTTAACTGGTTGCTTCATGAAGGCTGAATATGAAATATTTGCTCTGTAGGACATAACATAGCATCTATAACACTTTCTAACAAACAAACATATTCTAATAATAAACTAAACAAAGGAATTCACTTTCACTCGTTCATCAGTAAAGTCAGAGGTTGAGCTGGAGCTCGTGTCCCGTCACACCAGATGTGAGAGTAGTGCGTTTGTTCGGTGCAGCATAACAAACTGGCTAATTAAAGTCTATATTTACACTTTTTATTTGAATACTTTATTTAATTCTATATGAGTAACAATAACAAAGTGAGCTGCACTGAAAACAGGAGAGCGTGTCAGTGTTCACAGTAATATTCACAGGAAATCTTAACACTTGTTAGACTTTTTAAGCCATGAGGAGGTTTTGCTAAACTCAGAATCTCCTCTAAGCTGCACTCTGACAACAGTCCAGCTCCATCACTGATCCCATTGTAGTTCTTATTTCTTACATGATGTTTATAGTGAGTGGGCTTCTTTGCAGGCTGCTCAGTGTCTTTGTCCCTTTGATGGGGTGTTGTTGTCACCCTGCTGGGTCCATAGGAGCCTCTACCAGGAGGCTGAGGGGCAGCGTTGGAGGTCATCAGTGTTTTTAGCCTGAAGTTAGCAGAGAGGCTAAACTTGACTCTGTTGCATTATAGAGACAGAAGTTTAAATAGTGTTTAACAGGACAATCGAGGCTAAAATGGTTTAAAAGATGAACTCATTAAAAAACACTAACAAATCTTCATGATTCAAATACTGAGAAGCTTCAACAACAAATATGTGTTCAAGTCAGCATGATGTTTGCTCCTGTAACTGATTGTTTTTCCATCTTGTTCTCTGAATATTTACCAAAGGCTCCATAACTAATGTCATTCATTTTGTTTCTTATCATTGAAACTGTTGTAGAAAATCCACTTTGTTAAGAAAACAGAGAAGCGACGTCTTTATATGAGACTTCAGAAAAATGTTGTACAAGACAAACTGAACAACATCAGAGCGACATCACGACTTCCTGTAACTTTTCTCTGTCCAGCTAAACATGAGTACCTTCCATTTTCTCCTGCAGAGGATTCTGGGTAAAGTCAATCGTGCACTGACGTCCTGTGTGTGTGTTTTATTGTGCAGATGCAGCTGCAGTCGGCTCAGCAGTGAGAACTGAAGACGTCAGTCAAAGAGAAGGAAAAACAGTCAGAGCTGAGAGGTACAGCTGCTCTTCTTTTAGTACAAACACCATAAATCTGTTGCTCACAATCAAACTTTATTGTATTTTTAAGTTTGTGTCACTTTTCAAACCATCGTTACGAGTGCTTCCCAGAGACGATGAGTGAAAGAGCAAAGAGTAAATTATGAATCAAACTACAGCCACACAGACTCAAGCGTCATGTGGTGAATAACTTCCAACAGCTGGATGAATAAGATGAGTTAAAGTTTATATATTAGTCTTTAACAAGGATTTAAAAGACGACACTGATGAGGCGAGCCAGATTTCTTCAGGCAGGTCGTCCCAGGATCGAGGAGTCCTCACAGCAAACATTCAGTCGTCTTTAAGTGTGAGCTGGGAACAGTGAACAGGTTTGTGGCTGCAGCATCTCAGGATGTACACACTGACTGGGACACAAGCACCAGTTCCACTAAATATTCTGGTGCCAGTAACCTGTTAAGATGGAGCAATTTGATGTTATTTAATCAGTTTATTTTTCATCCTGCAGTTAAAATGTATCAAAACAAGATTGTGTGTCTGCAGATGCTGTGATCTGACACACCTGCACAAAATGTGTCAAAGTTCAATAAGTTACATTATTGTAACTGTGATGCGTTCACTGACGTGTCCTGATGCTTTGCTGTATATAAAGAGAACAGAGAGGCTCTGCTTTGTGCTTATATTCTCCTCCTGTGTGTTTGTGTGTGCAGAGTTTCTACCAGAGCCAAATGTCATCTACTCCTCACTGAAGTCGTCCACCAGTCCAACCACTGGAATCCAGCTGCTGCTCTCTAACTGGTCCACACAGCAGCTCAGACCTGACACATTCACTGTAAACACACTGGTTTATATTCTGTTTGTTCTCCTCATGAAGGAACATGAGTTCTTTGGAGTCATAGATTATGAATTTATATTTTTCTCTTATTTTAACAGCTACAGGTGTGGTTTGTAATACGATGGAGATCCTTTACTCCATTATTAAACAGCCTTCATCTACAATGTGTTAGAAGTTTCTTTGAGTGAGATTATCTTGAACACAGTCATGTGTTTATATTAGTGCCCTCCAATAGAATTGGACTATTAAACAGCTCGATGACAGACTCACTGCGCATGCTCGTTAGTGCTGGTGCTTGTATTCACTGACCCACAGATTTGAAATCAGGATGTTGCTCACAGATACGAACAACATTTGTGTCTCTGAGCAGATTTTACCAACCACTGTGGAAATTCACGAGACTGTAATAAGTGCATTGATGCTTATTGCTGCTCTGTCAGCAGTGAGGGCTGGAGGCTTGTTTTCACCAGAAGTGACCACCAGAAATATCACAGTGACAGGTAACAAGTGTGAAGTCACCTGAAAGTGGACAATAGTTTAGGTGGGCATTATTTGAAAGGTTTATTTGTGTTTGTTTTTTAAAACAAACAAAAAACCTTTTCTTTAATGAGAAAGTGGCTTTTTAAGTGGCTGCTGGGTCAAGATTATGTGGTCTGTGCTGCCACCTACTGACGTTGAAGTGTAACAACACTGACTCCGCACCGCTGAAAATTCAATGTTTCCACTTTGTGAATGTGCAGCAGCTGTTTCGTGTCTGATATGGAGGAGACGTCACACTAACAGATTTAAACTTTACAAAACGTCCTCTGTAAATACTTTTTACAGGCTTGTTCTCACCTGCTCATCACACAGGATCAGATTTTCACAATAAACGCTTGTCACATGTTTTCACTGACACTGAACAGAATATGTTTTGGTTCATGTGGACGTGAGAGCGTCACACAGCTGGTCTGTGTTCTTTTTCTTACTGATTTTCAGGTGTAAAATTCATTTTAAGACATTTTAACTTTATGACTTCATGAAATGATTGTGATACAAATGCAAAAGTTCATATCTTTGTTTTCATCCATGGATCGATCCAGGCAGGTGGAAAGACTGTTCAATATTTGGAGTCACGATGGAGAAATGTTTTAACCACCAGGGTAGTGACTCGGTCACATGAATGAAAACAATAGCTAGAGCAGGGAGCGATACCAGAGTTCACTGTGAACTGGAAAAGTTCAAATCCCAATAAATAAAGCATGTTGGGGGGCGGTCGTGGCTCAAGAGTTGGCAGTTTGTCTTGTAATTGGAAGGTTGCTGGTTCAAGCCCCGGCTTGGACAGTCTCGGTCGTTGTGTCCTTGGGCAAGACACTTCACCTGTTGCCTACTGGTGGTGGTCAGAGGGCCCGGTGGCGCCAGTGTCCGGCAGCCTCGCCTCTGTCAGTGTGCCCCAGGGCAGCTGTGGCTACAATGTAGCTTACCATCACCAGTGTGTGAATGTGTGTATGAATGGGTGGATGACTGAATGTAGTGTAAAGTGCTTTGGGGTCCTTGGGGACTGAGTAAAACGTTATACAAATACAGGCCATTTACCATGAAAAGCACAGCAGTAACAGCAGTCACACTTTGCATTGTTTTTAACACTTCAGTTCTTTGTGTGTTAGAACTCCACTAAAAAAAACACGAGCAGTGGGGCTCACAGGCCGGTCGTCTCCTTCTGGTAAAAGAGCCCACTGCAGGCAGACGGACAGACCCTTGAGTGGAGTGGACACTCGCTGCGCTTGGTGCTGAAACATCTGAGCCCCACTCTGAGCTTCAGCACCAATGAACCCACAGACAAAGTAATAGTCCAGTCATCATCCTCTCAGAGTGCAGGCGGCCTTGACTCTCAGTTACACCTCAGTGCTCTGAGGATGAGGTCAGCGCTCAGCTGCTGGGGCCTACAAATATGTACATTACACACTTTAAATAGAAATAAGTTTCTCATCCATCAGTCATAAAATCATTGTATAATCCACACTGATGTCTATATCACAGCCAAATGTGGGCCAAGAAATATGTATGTATGTGTTGATTGGATGGGTTGTTACTGACATCTGGTGTTAGTAAGAACCCATTAAACCCAAGTCAGAAGCACCTTTATAAAAAATATTTTCTAAGAATATTTGTAATCTGTGTTTAATAATCTTATTTTACCAGCTGTACATAACCAACACATTTTACCTTACTACAATGACCCTGTGCTATCAGAACCCTTCTTCACAATGGTTATGATTATTATTCTTTATACTGATATATTCAAAAGCTGGTGAAAATACACAGGAGTCAAAAGTGCTGATCAGACCAGTCACAGCAGCAGGCTGTGTCAACTCAATGTGTTGTTACATCAGGTTACATGTAAGGTCACAGCGTAGATTTCCCACTGAAGCATAAACTGGGAATGAGAAGTGAACATCTCAATATTGCAGTAAAACCAGGGTTAACCCTGAAGTTACCTGGATGAGACTAAATCCTGGTTCACAGTGCAGACCTCTGATCACCGATGATGGAGAAGAAAAACAAATCAGGCTGAATGTAAAACATTTGCTCTGTAGGACTGAGGGAACACGTGCTGGTTTCCAGGTTTTGTTATCACTGGTTGGTGGCACTGGTGCCTCACTGCAACAAGGTCCTGGGTTTGATTCCAGCACAAATTTTACCCAAAACACAACATGTTTGTCATGTTTAATCGTTACAGGGCAAGTTTAAAAATTGTGTTTTGTGACTTTTTGCAATGCACTTGGTGTGTAAATGCCTCAAGTCTTAATCTCAGGATATAACTCAAAACTTTATTTATAGCACTTCTCATACAGTAAGGAAGCCACTCAAAGTGATGTACACATTAAAAGCAGAATAAATATACATGCATCACCTTCACTACACCCTTTCATCACCCCTCCATCCCCACTCCCACACCCAGACATCAGACACTCATCATACAGAAACACAGGAGATTAAAAAGAAACAATAAATAACATTACAAGGCTACTAAGAATAGATTAAATATAATAAAAATGGAATAAATAAATGGTGCAAAAAAGGAAATAAATGAATAGTAAATTACAATAAATAGACACACAAAACCATAAAATGGCAAACTAAAAAGAAACAGGCAGCATGATAAATAAAAGATGGTCAACAGTCTCCTGTCCTGAGGGCTCTGAAGTGCTCGTAGCATAAAAGCAAATCAGAAAGATGAGAAGGTCCTGAAACGCTAAAAAGCAGTAAATGAACCTTACAGACGACTCTGACTGGGAGTCAATACAGAGACTGTAACATTGGTGTAATTTGGGCTCTGGAGACGAGCTTTGAAGCAGCTGCAGCAGTGACAAATTTTTTTTTTGAAAAACTAGAAAGATGAACATTGCAGTAGATGAAAGCAGGAGTCAGTGTCTCTGCGTTGATCTGAGAGAGAGAGGCTGTTGCTACAATATTCTATAAATATGAAAATCAGTTTTAAAATATTTTTGATGCAAAATTCAAATGTGAGTTCTGGATCAAATAAGACCTGAAGGTTTTTAACCTGCTCACACAGGTTTAGTGGAAGAGTCTGAAGTTTGTTATGAAGTTTCTCTCTGAGCTTCAGAGCTATCGATACGTTTATATATTTTATATGTCATTTTTATAGTTAACCATGTTTAACTGGTTTTAATGTGCTCTCTCTCTCCTGTCATGGTGCTATGTTTCAGACCACTTCCTTTTTTGCTTCTTCATCAGGAGGAGGAGGAAGGGCAGGGTCCTTCTTGTGTTTTTTAGAGATCACAACAGGGAAAACAACAAGGATCACAACAAGTAACAAACCAAAATCTACCAGTCCACCATAATGTCCTCTAGCAACTCCATCTTTCTCCTCTCCATCTGTGGTTCCTCCTGGTGGAGCTGCAGGTGAGAAACATGTGTGAGGTGTCAGCTGATCACATCACTCAGACCAGCTGCTTTCTACAAGGTCTCATCAACACACTCAACTCTACTCACTCACCTGGAGGAAGAACTGTCAGGTAGATGATGCTGATGAGGTCAGGGTCCACATTCGCTCTCTTCCTTCGGTTTGGTTCTTTCATGAAGACACGACACTCGTATGTTCCACTATCAGCAGTCGTCACATTGTTCAGAATCAGAGACACGTCTCCATCCTTCATCTGTCTGTCCTGCAGATCCACCCGATTCTTAAAAGATGGATGCTGACCATCTGGAACAAACTGTTCATCTCTGTACATAAGGACATGTTTTGTCTCCAGGTCAGCTCTGCTCCACTCTACATCTCTGATGTTGTTGTTTGGAGCTCGACATGTCAGATTGACGTTCTGTCCAGATGCAGCTGTGATATTTTTCTGGTCTGAAAGAGGAAACAACACAGAGCAGAAACATACCGTGGAAATATACCTTTAAATGTTTTTTATTATTTTTATATTTCATTTAAAAATCCTTTATAAAGATGTGTTTAAAATGTGTAATGTTCTGTCTGCATATTTGTCACAGTTAAATGGTTCAAATGAGCCAAACTTTAACATTAGACAGATAACTGATTCCAGACACATTGATGTCTACTCTCTCACCTGGAGGATCAGAGACACTCAGGTAGATGCTGCTGGAGATCCATGAGCGCGTTTCTCCCATGAAGACACGACACTCGTATGTTCCACTATCAGTAGTCGTCACATTGTTCACAATCAGAGACATGTCTCCATCCTTCATTTGTCTGTCCTGCAGATCCACCCGGTTCTTAAAAGATGGATGCTGGTTTTCTGGATCAAACTGCTCATCCCGATATGAAAGCACATATTCGTCTCCCAGGTCAGGTCTGCTCCACTCCACTACTCTGATGTTATTGTTGTTTGGAGCTCGACATGTCAGAATGACGTCCTGTCCAGACTCAGCTGTGATGTTTTTCTGCTCTGAAAGAGGAAACAACACAGAGCAGAGAGGTTAAAGGTCAGAGTGTTTATATCAAACAAATTTTAATATTAGTAAAAGATTATTTATCCAGTTAAAAGTCTCATTGTCATAAAAATTTTGCTTTTTTAAGAGTAATCTGACCAAGAAGCCAGCAGAAAATGCAACAAATAATAATATAATAGTTCTATAACGATATTTTAAGTGGCCAAAAGGGTCTTGACTGTTTATAATGTAGGCACAATAACACAGAGTCATTAAGATGCTTGAAAAACGGTTAATTTTTAACTTTTATTAATACAATCCGTTTGTATATCCTGTGCGGTAAAAGTATATTAGACGTTAAAAGATAAAAACACACTGAAATATTGGCACAGCCCCGGTGAGTTACGATTGAAGCAAGAGTGCGGCCTAACCCACGGGGAGTCATTCTCCTCTACTTTCTTGGCAGCTAGAAGCAACTTTTAGCCAAAATGCGCTGCTCCCACATTTGATTCGAGAAAGGAAATAAAACCCTTGCAGCGTCACGCAAAGCGGACAGCTGGTCACTGTAATCACGGCGCTGTTAGAGAGAAACGGATAAATAAGAAGAAACGGAGCAACTTGTCAAAGAGCGGCTTTCCCTCCAGCTGTGGATAAGACGAGCAGGAAGAGAAACGCCAAAACGCGTTTACCACCCATTGTGTCTGAAAGAAACTCTTTCTAAAAGTATATGATTTTTAATCGTGCTGTTGGATCAATGCATGCTGGTCTGAGTAAATGTTAGTAAATAGTTTGCTCCTTTGAGCATGGTCTTCGTGGGTGAAGCCCCTCCCCCCAGCTGGAGATACAGCGTTACTGAAGTAAATGGAGATTTAAGACAGCGGCACCCGAGGCGATTAACTTTAAATCAAAACGCGGGACATGTCTTTCACGTTTGATGCGCGAGAGCAAAAAAAGAAGATAAAATACCTACAGTGTCGCTTAAAGCGGGACATCTGGCCACACGGCGCTGTTAGAGAGGATGAATGAGAGGAAACGGAGCAACTTCTTACCTCCAAGAGCGGCTTTCCCTCCAGCTGTGGATAAAACAAGCAGGAAGATAAACGTCAAAACGCGTTTACCACTCATTGTGTCTGAAATAAAATCTTTCTAAAAGTATATATATATTTTTAATCGTGCTGTCGGATCAACGCATGCTGGCCTGAGTAAATGTTAGTAAATAGTTTCCTGCTTTGAGCTCACGTGGTCTTCGTGGGTGAAGCCCCTCCCCCCCAGCTGTTGAACGGGAGATACAGCGTTACTGAAGTAAATGGAGATTTAAGACAGCGGCACCCGAGGCGATTAACTTTAAATCAAAACGCGGGACATGTCTTTCACGTTTGATGCGCGAGAGAAAACAAGCTAATAAAATACCTACAGTGTCGCTCAAAGCGGGACATCTGGCCACACGGCGCTGTTAGAGGGAAACTGATGAATAAGAAGAAACGGAGCAACTTCTCACCTCTAAGAGCGGCTTTCCCTCCAGCTGTGGATAAAACAAGCAGGAAGATAAACGTCAAAACGTGTTTACCACTCATCGTATCTGAAATAAAATCTTTCTGAAGCTATGTTTCAGTGGCGCTGCTGGCGGATTGTTGAGCTAATTAATAGTTATTTTTAGACTGATGTGGGCCAAAGCCTAGCATAGCCTGTTATTGTGACGGACACATTTTATGAGTGAACTTGACTTAAAGCGTCTTACAGGTTTCTTTGAAAAATACTTTCTTATATCCAGGTTCTTCCTCTTTGCTGCCACCCTCCTCTCCTCCTCGCAGCGCAGGTTTGCCGCTGCTAAAACTAAACTGAGCTCCCTGAAAGGCACAGCCAATCACACTGGCCATATTTGTCACATGACGTAGGACCAGTAGAGGACGTAATTTCATTTCATTTAATTCATTCATTTATTTATTCCACACATTGTTCAACAGTGTTTCATTTCCTTCATACAAATCCTCCTTCCCATTATTATAACACCGCACCCATGGGTGAAAAGGAGCAGGAAGAAGAATACATTCTTGTTAGCTCCTCCCCCCTACCTGCAATCCAATTATTCTTACATGAGGGCGCCAACAACCCAAAAAACCCTCTAACATTTATCTTTATGTAACAATGCAAACATTTTTCCTTCCACATTTAGCCCAAATTACTTTCATGTTCTTCATATTGATTCATCCTTTTAAGTATGTAACACATTTTAAAACTGTGCATATTTGTACAGCTCTTAAGATCATCTTGAAGAGAATCCATATTCTTATACCCTTAACTGTCGGACACATTTGCCTTTGTGTGGTCCTAGCAAACTGATGCTTAAAATCAAACTTCCTTCTACTGTCCCCACTTCCTGAACACAATGTAAACAATCTTTGTACCTTGTACTGGAATCGGAATCGTGAAAATCTTATCAATACCCATCCCTAGTGGGGACATGTCCCTTCTGTCCATGTCAAATTTACACCCTGTCAGGGATCAACTTTCAGTGACTATTGAAGCATGAACTTAACTCTGAATGTTTCAGGACCGTGTTGAATCTATTCCATGAAGAATTAAGACAGTTTTGAAGGAAAAGGGGGTACATCCAAGGTGTATAATAAAGTGGCCAGTTAGTGTATTGGCGACTGTCAAGCCTTTCAGTCGCCGAGCAGCTGAATAGGGAAATAATGTTGACGCGCCCGCTGTTTAAAACGTAAGTCAAAGTTCCAGGTTAAAACTCCTTTATTTGTTATCAAATCCTTAAAATCCGTAGAAAAACAGTGATCAAAAACATTCTAAGCTTGAGCGGTCAGCAAAAGTCGACTTCCCCCATCACCCACTCATTCACAAAATTTCCCTCGGGCCGTGAACAGGTGATATAGCAATCACTATTACTGACACCACGTGACCCAAAGCTACGCCTATCCACAACATTCCGGCCCCTAATTATTACATTTTTACAGTAATAATTACACATCCAACACCATAACTCACAACACACACTTCATCATATCACAGACACCCAGTGAGACAACATAACATACTCAAAAGTCCACCAAAGTTATTTTCTCATGTCTTCTCTTCTTTTCTTCTGTCTGCACATGGTCAGTCAGTCATAGGCCAGAGGTTACCAGCACTTAGCCTAAATATAGTCAGTCTGTGATGTACATCTCATAACATTAAAGTCAATTCAAAGTTAGTTATGTCACACTGTGTCAAAAAAAATGCCATAGTCATGGGTCAGAGGCCTCTTGAAGAAGGCATATCTTTGTTATGGGTCTGCACACATGGCTGGTTGGGGTCTTAATCCAGACCTGATGCACAAGCCCCTTTTCATCTGATGCAGCTCCAGTGACTCTCCCAATGATCCAGGAACCACGAGGTGGAGAATCATCCACTATAAGGACCACATCTCCAGGAACAACGTTACGTTTAATCCTTCCCCATTTCTGGCGCTGCTGAAGTTGTGGCAAATACTCTTTAGTCCATCTTTTCCAAAACAGATCAGACATATACTGAACTTGCCTCCATCGTTTACGTGCGTAGAGATCGTCCCTCCGGAACAGGCTAGGTGGTAAAGACGGGTTTGACTTGAGAAGAAGGAGATGGTTTGGTGTTAAGGCTTCCAAATCATTTGGATCGGTGGATTCCAGCGTAATGGGTCTACTGTTGAGGATTGACTCCACTTCACAAAGAGCAGTTTGGAGCCCTTCCTCGTCCAAATGCTGTGTTTGGAGAGTGGAATTAAGGACCTTTCTGACAGAACGAATCAACCGCTCCCATGCTCCGCCATGATGCGATCCAGTTGGAGGATTAAAGATCCATTTCACTCCCTTCAAAGACACAGCATCAGAAATCTTTTCCTGATTCCACTGTTCCATAGCTTGTCTCAGCTCGCGCTCTGTGCTAGTCCCATTGTCTGAGCGCAGTTCTTGTACCTGACCTCGTCTTGCGATGAAACATCTTGAGGCATTAATGAAAGACTGTGTCAAGAGATGAGGCAACCTCAATATGTACTGCTCTAATTGCCAAACAAGTAAAAATAACACCATAGCGCTTCACAAGACTTCTCCCACGCTTCACTTCAAATGGACCAAAATAGTCCACTCCAACAAAGCTAAATGGGGGTTTCTCAGGGGTCACTCTGCTTTCAGGCAACTCAGCCATCTGCTGCTGGCCTGCAGCTCCATGAAATCTTCTGCAGGTCACACACCTCGACATGATAATAATAATAATGAATAATAATAATGGATTGGATTTATATAGCGCTTTTCAAGGCACCCAAAGCGCTTTACAATGCCACTATTCATTCACTCTCACATTCACACACTGGTGGAGGAAAGCTACAGTTGTAGCCACAGTTGCCCTGGGGTAGACTGACAGAAGCGAGGCTGCCATATCGCACCATCGGCCCCTCTGGCCAACACCAGTAGGCAAGTAGGGTAAAGTGTCTTGCCCAAGGACACAACGACCAGGACAGAGAGCCCAGGGATCGAACCGGCGACCTTCCGGTTACAGATACGATTCCCAAACCCCTGAGCCACGGTCGCCCTTGATGCTTCGAATCAAAGTACCAGCACCGGGAATCCAGTATTTTTGATGCAGCTTTGAGAGTATGTGGTTCCTTCCACCATGACCCACCTCTTTATGAATATGCTGTAAAATGAGATTAGAAATGTGAAGCTCTTTAGCAATTATGACAGGACGCTTGGAATCTTCTGACATGACAGCTCTACTGAGACGTCCGCCAACCCGCAGCACATCATCCTCCAAAACAGGATTCAACTTATATATGTGGCTGATTCGTTTCACAGACTCTCCCCTTTGGAGACGAGAAATTTCTTTGGCATAACTTTTCCTCTGACAGAACTTAATTATTTGCATCTCAGTATCCTCAATCTCTCCCAATGAAAGAAAGCCATGCCGGAAATAAACCTTATGTTGAGCATCTTCAGACTGAATTGTATCAGATGCAGACTGGAAATGTATCTTCTTGCGATGCAATAGCAATGTC